TATTCCATGCTAAACCCGCATCTTTGCTGAGGACAACAAAGGGGTAGCTTGGGGGAGCTTGTTGACGGTTACTAACACCAGTTTTGACCATCAATATTCCACCCAAAAGCATGGCAAAGTGAGGTAAATCATCATCACATGTGTAGAATTTTGTTTAAATTTCACCTAGTTCCACTTGTGCTTGTAGAATTATTTGTATGCAGGAAATATGGCAAAAATAGGCCAAAATGGTGACAAACATGGACACATGAAGCAAGTGGACGTGATAGGAGGCCAAGGACCCACTTGGCAGCACTGCTTGGCCCCATAAGGGTGCTGCCCGGCCCCCCAAGTGGCCTTGCCACGTCACCGATCCGTGGGAGCTGCTCCAGAGCCAATCATAAGCTTCCATTCAAGTCGGTTTGATCAACAGACAAGATTTGTTCACGGTGGATCCATGGGCCCATTGTCAAAGACTTGGGAGCCTCCACCGACTTACCAACTGATCTACCATCCGAATTTCACCATGTGCTGTCCAAGTAACCGCCATTGGGAGCCAGCCATCGCCGTTGGATCAAGAGGCGGTGGAACGGAGGGCCGCCCGGCGCCCCCCTAGCGTCACCCAGCGCCTTAGGTCCTCCATCGACCTCCTGGCTGCCTACAAGTACCCCTCTCACTCTACACTATAAATATAGGGTGTGGAGCTCGGTGGAAAGACGCCACATTCATTTCCAAGCTCTCCAAGCTTCTCTTAGCTTTCTAGCTTAGCATTAGCTATAGAGTAGTAGTCTAGTAGTGGAGTAGAGCAAGAGCGGAGCTTCTCTTGGAGTCCGGAAGAGTCTTTCTAGGTCTGGTATAGCTCATTTGTAATTCTTTCATTTTAGCATTTACTTTATTTAGTATTTATTTTAAGTACTTTATTCTAGTATTGCTTGTTTTACTTTAAGTACTTAGTCATTAGTGTTCATCATTAGTGAGCTTAGATGCTTGTTGTTTGGCATTAGTAGCATAGGTTGTCTTATAATTAGTAGCTATTTGTTAGTACCAGTTCCACCGTCTGGTTAGGGTGCTTTGATCTCATTTCATCGGAGCTTGGATCGAAGTAGTAAGCCTGTAGATTAAGCGTGGTGCTTAGGTTATAGATTACCTATGGATACGGCTAGGCCTTCGGATAGATTATGGCAGGTGACAAGTGGTGATAGCCTTGTCCATCCTATTTATTCCACCACGATAGGTCTAGTTATTAAATCGTAGGGCTCGTGGCAGACCTTGTCTATTTAACTCTCCTAGTTGGTAGGCGGGTTGTGCCCTGAAGTACTAGCGCATTTCTCCTAGTCATTGGTTTACATTAGTTACTAGAAAGATAAATCGCTCGCTCTCCCACCTAGCTATCTCTAGGTTAGCTTGTTATTAGTAGTTAGTTTAGGTAGTTCACATTCACCCTTCACTATCGTTCATCTACCTAGGATTAACTTAGGCTTTACCTTAGCAATTCTTAGCTAAATATAAATTCTAGCCTTCTGCCTTCCTGTGGGAAAAAATATAAATTCAACACTCGGTACTCACCGAGCGAAGTGTTACGCGATAGTTCTGTACGTTTGCGGAATCCTCCAATAGTCGTTAATAAATATCAACACCACACCGTTCCCTCCCCCCTCACGGGCCTACACCGCTCGCTCCCTCACTGTCCACCCGTTCCCATCGCCGTCGCGCACGCTGCTGACCCCGCCATGGCCGCTGGGGCGCACGTGTCGTGGCGTCTCAGGTCTTCCCTGGCCGAGCCAAGGGCACCCACGAGCGCGGCCAGTGCTGGTGGTGCTCGCACGCCGTGGCTCGCCGCTGGCTCCTACCCCGACGGCCGGAATCGACCGGCCCGACCTTGTATGTTTTAAGTGTTTCAAACGTTTCAGGCGTACGTTGCAATTGTTTCATCCTGATGTTGTAAAAGTAGATCGGGGGATATTGCACATGTTGCATATTTTGCAAGTGGTTCAAAGGATGTTGCAAGCGTTTGTTCATAATGTTTCATCTGTTTCCAGACGTATGTAGTAATCGTTGTTGATCTGGATGTTGCATATGTTTCACACATATGTTGCAATAGTATGTTCCAAATGTGTCAGCTATTTCAGTCTTATGTACATTGTAGCATGTGGTTTCATGTTGCAAGTCATGTGTTTCATACCCATGTTGCAAGTGCATGTTTCATTTGTTTTCAGTCTTATGTTGCATTCATGTTGCAAGTGTTTTGTGTTGTTTGTCCGAGGGCTGGTGGACGATTGCGCGGCGCACGGGGGCCGCCGAATGGGGGCGCTGAGGCCGTCAGACGGGGGTGCTGCAAGTCAGGCTGCGCTGGGGGCATGCCTGTCCTTAGCCACTCATCCCGACTCCCAAGTGTCGCCCATGCAGAGGAGGAGGGGTCAGGGGAAGGACCGGTGGGCGCAAAGACAGGGTCGGAGTGCACTCGTCGGACGGGGTGAAGGCGGTCGGGGGCGGGATGAAGGAAGACGAGGACAGGCTACACGAGCATCCGTACACACGTCTGTCCGGATGCCCGGGCGCTACGAAGGGCTAGGTTTGGTGGGATTGGATACTGATGTGCGGGACCCACACATCATCCTCTCAGCTCTCTTTCTTCCTGCTTCGTTTCCTTTCTCCTTGCCCATCGCCGCCGCTTTGTGTGCTCCTTCTCTGTGCTCGCTCCGCTGCTGTTGCGCTAGCTAGGCTCCGACAACCCAGGTCTGCCCTCCACCGCCACCACTTGTAGCCGCACCGGGGTTGCGCGTGCCCCACCGCCGTGCGAGGCCGTCGTCGCCGCGCGTGGCCTGCGTGAGCCGCTGCCGGGCTGTGCGTGGCCGCCGTCGTCCGCTGCCGGGGTGTGATTCTTTCATTTTTTTATTTCCCACAATGCCTTTCCGTCTCTCCTTATTTCGTCTGTGACTTAGACTCACACCCCATGCTCATATAAGTTAGAATTACATGCACGTTTATGTGTCCAGGGCAGTACTGAGGTCAATTTCAATACATATTGTGACATATACACAACTTTACATAAATCTTTGAGCCTGTTTAGATGCCTAGAATATTGGGAAAACTCTGCCAAAATTTTAAATAACTTATAAGTATAATAGAATTTAGATGTTGTTTGGCCTCCGGTAATGTTCATACCCAGGGTGTTACAGAGAGAGGCATGCATGGTGCTCGACAAGTGCCCAACCTAACGGCTTGTCTTCGAGGCTTGGTTGGATACAGGGATGAAAACGGTCGAACTCGGTCGAAAAACTCCTCAACTGTTTTCTACTTTTATATTTGAAATACGAAAGCGAAAGCGAAAGCGAAAGCGGACAAACCGAATACGAAAACGAACACGAACTTACGGAATATCTAGAATTTCGGAAACGAACCAATTCGAACGGAATTATGTCGAACACGGTCGGTATGCGAAAATTCAATATGAAATACCGACCCACAGTGCATAGCATTAAACAAGTGCACGACCAAATACATAATAAGTTCAAAACTAACAAGTGCATGATCTAGTTCAAGTGCATAGCATTAAACAAGTGCACGACCAAATACATAATAAGAGAGATGAGGCTGGGCGCCGTCTATAAGAGAGGGCAGCTAGCCACCAGTAGAAAAGAACGTAGCTGCGTGGTGAGCAGCCTGTAATTGGGCTGTGTGACCTTGGCCAAATTCGGTTTAAACCGAATTTTGAATTCGGAATATTTCAAATTAAAAGTAGAAAAGTAGAAAACGGTCGAAAAATGTGTAAACCGTTTTTTACTTTTACATTTGAAATACGAAACATCTCAAATGCGAAAGCGAAAATGGTAAAGTCGGACAAGAAAATACGGATTCGATCGGATTAAATATAAAAAACGATGCGGTTCGGTTCGAGATATTTCTGTTCCGTTTTCATTCTTAGTTGGATATAGATACGGCAACCAAACAAAGGCTGCTGCATGTGACAAATCTGGCCACCGTGACCATGAATCGCTGGGACGAGACAGGCTATGCCGGAAGAAAACCTATCACACTCTGATCGTTAGTCATTTGACAGCGCTAAAGGTAAATGGTTTGATATCTATTTTTGGTTTTCTTTAACAATAAGACTCAAAAGACAATACTTTCTATAAATGGATCTTCAAGAGAGATGATATTTAGATTTAGGTTATGTCTCTCCTGACATCTAAAATAGGACTTCCATATAGGTACTTTGTTGGAGACTATAGATATTATATTGGAGACCTATTTTAGATTTGAGTTTCGTAATAAATCTCCTATTGGAGACAGCCTTACCAGTGTCTTGACTCTTGCTTGATATCGATTGAGCTTCCTTGTAAAATGACCAACCGTCTCTTGATCAAAAAATAAAGCAGCAGCAGCAGAAGAAATTTCCTTTCCTTGTCTGTAGACTGTAGAAGTGTAGATAGAGAAGCTTTCTGCACTTGGTATGTACGTCCTTTAATGTATACATAGATGCCAATAAGATTGGACATTACCGAGGCCTTGCTTAGCTTTTTTCCTAAAAATTTACTCCCTATCACATCGGATATTTAGATACATACATAGAGTATTAAATATAAAAAAAATAACTAATTGCACAGATTGCGACTAATTTGCGAGACGATTTTTTAAGCCTAATTAGTCCATGATTCGATAATGTGGTGCTACAGTAAACATGTGTTAATGATAGATTAATTAGGCTTAATAAATTTGTCTCGTGTATTATTGAGGACTTCTGTAATTTATTTTATTACTACTATCCAAACACTCCCATATAACACCCCAATATAACACCCGACGTGATATCTCTAAACTTTACTCCCTGAATTTAAACACCATCTAAATCGACGTGAGTGTTAGACTGTTTGGTCCTTCCTCTTCCTACAAAAGGGAACCCTTCCCCACGATTTGTTGTTGCATTGTAAGAAGAATTTGGATCAGCTCTACCATAGCAGTAGCTAGTTCATATATATTTGCGGTGGTTGAGCGCCCTGTTCATGGAGGCAGCAAACAACATGGAGGACTCAAGCCTCTTCATGCAGTGGGCGATGGACACGCTGCTGCAGGAGGAGGAGCCTGCGGTCGACGACGTGCACTGGGCGACGGACACGCTGCTGCAGGAGGAGGAGCCTGCGGCGGTCGACGACGGCGAGGCAGTAGTCTTCCCCTCGCTCCAAGCGCTCCGCGACGCCTCCCACGCGTCGGAGATGGTGCGGGAGCAGATGGCCGTGGCCGCCGCCGAAACCCACGACGCGGCGGCAAACAGCTTGTCGAGCGGCGGTTCCGGCGACGGCGGCGAGGTCACGGACGGCGGGAGCAGCGGGGCCACCGACCCTGCACCCCCGCGGGCTGCTGCCGCCACGGATTACTACGGCGGATCCTGGCCGCCACAGTCGCCGAACTCGTCGTTCGCGCGCGCGCCAGCGCCAGCGCCGCCGAGCAGCAACAGCAACAGCAACACCAGCCTGCCGACGGTGAGCTGGAACTTCGTCACCGGCTCAGCGAAGCCTGGCAGCGAGGGCGTGCTGGAGGAAGCCGCCGTCCCGGCACGCAGCTTGCCGCCGCCGGAGCTGGCTCAACGCCGCTGGTTGTCACCGCCGACGCCGAGAAGAGTCCACCCAATACGCGGCATGGGAGCCCCATCGTCGATGTTGTGCACGCCGGACCACGTCGTCGCGGAGCGCAAGCGCCGGGAGAAGATCAACAAGCGCTTGATCGAGCTCTCCACCGTCATCCCAGGCCTCAAGAAGGTCCTCCCATCGACCATCCAAACGAACTAAACTCCTGCCCTTGTTCTCTGCATCGATCAAATCCGTGCTATCGATCCTGACAAGTAGAGGTTGCAGATGGACAAGGCGACGATCCTCTCCGACGCGGCCAAGTACGTGAAGGAGCTCCAGCAGCGGCTCAAGGCCCTGGAAGAGGCTGCCGCCGGCAGCATCAGGAGCAAAGCTCCGCCGCCGGCGGACGAGAATGGCGGCTCCGGGTCGCCGACGTCGGCATCCTCCTCGTCGGGGCCACCCGCACTTCCAGAGATCGAGGCACGGTTCTCGGAGAGGAGTGTGATGGTGAGGATCCATTGCGGCGGCGGCAAAGGGGTTGCGGCGGCAGCGGTCGCCGTGGTCGAGGGCCTCGGGCTCACCATCGTCCATGCCAATGTCATGCCCTTCTCGGCTTGCACTATCACCATAACCATCACAGCAGAGGCAAGCCCGTTTTCTTCTTCTTATTTTCTCCCCGTATTTGTTTTATTATTTGGACTAATTCATTCAGCACTCTTATCTCTGCATGCTTTCTATATTTGAATATACAGGATGTACTAAAAATACTAAACTTTTGATTTGGTATACCAAATGCCTGAAAATGCGCTGTTTTAGTTAGCTGGTTAGGAACATCTGTAAAATGGAGGGAAAATCGTTGACAAAACACAAATGGCTGGTTAAGATCATTTCAATATTAAAAGCCTATAATCCTCACATCATTAATGTTAGTCTATGTTGTAAGGACGGTTTGGCAGTACAAACCAGATACATAATGTCAATTCATCCCCTCCTCTTAATGAAAAGCGTACCAAGACATGTTCCCCAAAAGAATAATGTCAATTCCTTCTTCTTATACAAAGTAAACATATTATGTAATTGTGTAAGGTTCAAACAGAGGTTTTACTAACTGGTTGTTTTAACAATGCAAAGAGAACACATATAGTGATTGAAATCTTAATATTTTGGTTCTTGATTTCATTTCGACGTGTACTTCATTCCCTTTAGTATATATATGATAATGTCATGAGCACACATTTATTGAGAGATTATACTGATAAGTGTGTTCTTTGTTGTATATCAGGCATATCAGTGTGCGCACACCAAACAAAACTGAATGATATTTTCTTGTTAAATTTGAAAATAAGTACAGAAATAAAACCAAATCTACATCTATAGGAAGATCGGGTTCAACGAACCTCTCACGTTTTTAAGGCTTGGTAAAACATTTATATTTGTAAATAAAACTAGTAACAAACCCTAAAATTATTTGTGATAATCACAAGCTAGAAATGGGTTACTTGCATTACTTATCTTGGTGTGTGTCCGCACTACATCTCAACAATGGTACGGTGACTAATCAGATACATCTATATGTCAGATCACATAGCTGAACAAAAAGAAAAACAGCTACTTGACTAGTTTGACTAATCACAGTTAGAGTTATTCGTATGTGCTAAATATAAGTATTGCTCCCTCTGTCCAGAAAACTTCAATTTGTCGATTTCAATTTAAGTTACTTACACCTTGATGTTTTAGGATTTTAGGACATATTAAGAAATTACCCATGTACCTCTTTTTATTAGAGGTGAATCATGCTAATTCAGCAATAAACCCCTCATTAAAAGGAATGCATAGCAGATCACAGTCTCATGTATATATGGATCCAATCTATTGCCAATAGCTAAAACATCAAGTTTTTTTTGGACATTTTTAAAATCCTAGAGCATAAATTTTATGGGGCGGAGGGAGTACTATATGTTTCAACTTCCAGTAAAATATATAGTGAATGCAACTGTATACAAAATTATTGACACATTGTATATATTTATATATGTCATGTACACGTACTCCCTTCGTCTCATCTCAAAAGGCTTGATGTTTTAGGATTCAAAATTTGTCCAAATTTTTTTAAAGCTTGATGTTTTATGTGGTATGCATGCCTCTATACATTCCCTTTAATTAGTTGCTTATTCCTTAATTAGCAAGGATCACCTTCAATATATAGGGGTTCGTGGGCAACTTCAATTAAGCACTATTCTATCCAACAATCCTCTAAAACATCAAGTTTTTTGGGAATGGATGGAGTACAACTATGCAAATATGCACAATGGTTTCTACTCAGCGTGAACTTGTGAATGGTTTCTACTCTATTTAAGATAAATGAACAATTAAGCACTATTATATTAGCTTTCACTACTGGAAAGCTGAAATTCCCTGACGGTGCGATTACCGTCAGGAAAATAGAAAAGACCGTCAAGAAAATGTAAATCTAATTTCCCACACCGTCATGGAATAACCGTCAGGGCTAGCTCGATAGGGAAATTGGAAAATGTCTGACGGTTCACCGTCAGGGAAATTTGTTTTGATTTTCCTGTCGGTGATGAACCAATAGGTTAATTGTAAACCGTCAGGGATATAACATTATTTTTGTCGGTGGAAACCGACAAAAAAATTATATGTTACCGTCAAAAAAATACATTATTCTAATGGTGTGAAACCGACGGAGTAAAAGGATAAATATCCTGTCGGTTAGAGAACCGTAAAAAAATATATATATTCCCTGTCGGTGTCTGATATTTCCCTGTCGACTTGTAGCGGTCAAAATAATGTTTCCCTGTCGGTGTTAAACAGCCAAGGAATTTACGACCAACAGGAAAATGATATTTCAAGTTTCCAGTAGTATTTACTTTTGTTTCCCTTTGTCTTATTGTGTGCTAATAATATATTTATATTTATTGGGTGCAAACGTCAATTGTTCATTTCAGATGGAGGGCCCCCGCCTCAGCTTGACAACGGAGCAGATTGCTGGCAAGCTCAAGTCTGCATTATCACACCAGCGTAGCATCAGCTGCAAAGATACCCAAGAGACAGAAAATTGATTGAATATACTATATATACACAGCAGCACAACAGTGGATATATCTTTGTAATAAGTTTACACACGTACGGTTTGATATTTTCTTTGTGTGATCCGGCATCATCACGTGGATATCTATCTAGCATGTGATTGCATGAGGGTGGATTCTATGAGTATAGGTCCTATAGGAGTAGATGCATGCCTATATATTTATATATATCCTATATATGACTAGATCGGCAATGGAGGGAGATGAGACTGGGCCATATGCATGCATGTCACCGGAGGAGTAAACCATGGTGATTTTTTTTTTATTTTTAACACATTTTTAAACTATTTTTAAAACTGACACTGTTTTTTTCTTCAAAACTAACACTTTTGGACGCGCATGTTTGCACGGTGCGGCGAAACAACTCTGCAGCGCCAAGCATGGGGGCGCGGCAGGGGTGCGTACATGGCAACATCCCGCCCCGCTGGTCGCTGACGTGGCAGGCCTTGTCGCGCCACCGATCAGGGTGTGGCTGTGACGCGCCACCCGTCAGGGCGCGACAGAGCCAAATAGAGGCCCGCGGCCCAGTCCCTTTCCTCTTTCTCTGTTTCATTCCGCACCGCACAGCAGCTGCCTCCGTGCCGCCCAGCCCCCGTCGCCGCGCCTCCTAGCCCGCACCACTGCGCCATTGCCTCCCGGCTCTCCCACGGCCGGCCCAGTCCCTTTCCTCCCTCTCTGTTTCGTCGTATCGGTTTAACGAATAGGTCAACATGAAGGATAAGTGCACGAGACAATCAATACACAAGTTCAGCAATATTAACTTGTACACGTCCCAAGTTCATCGCAAGTTCGACAATACCACTGTTCGACATAAGTTCAGCAAGTCATACCTACGACACAAGTTCATCAATACATAAGTTCGACATTACTCGACATACTACATGTTCCATCAGTATTTGGGTGTCCGAGTACAAGTGCATCATGTCATCCTAAAGAACTCCTACGACCTAGGAGTATATGGGTACCGCGGACATCGCTGCCTCTTCGGATGTGAAGACAGCACGTTAGGGGTGAACCCAACGTCGGTACAGTCTTGCTGGTGGTACACCCGGCGGTACTGCTGAGTGTAACTAGGACCCTGCAATTACAATATAGGCATTGTTACTTACAATGTTTAAGTAATTGTGACGTATATGGCGAAGGGATGTTTCAAGTACCTGTTTGTCGAACTGTGTAGGAAATGGTGCATCACCAAGCTGAGACATCCCAATCTCATCGTAGTCCTCGTCCTCGTCCTCGTCCTCCTCATCCTCGTCCTCCTCAACATCGTGCTCCGTAGGACCCTTGCCTGGATTGTCAGGAGTACGAACATAAGAGGTCCCATCAGCCGTCATGTCGGAGGAACCTGCTTGTGTCGGCATAGTGCTCGAGCATAAGGAACTAGACAGGTCTGGGTCATAGGGCAGCTCCCACGAAGTATCCACGCAGCTGAGCTTCTATGCCACCATCTTGCAGCTCCTCCTCACTTTCTGCAAAAAAAGAAAACATGGATGAATGAGTCATGTGAACCATTTAACCACTGTCATAGCTCTAAGAATAGAATGTACATCGACGAAATGTCGTTATTGTCATCAACGAGCCCAAATATACGACGGGCAAGGTAACGTGCAGTGAGCTGCTGATGATTTTCCTTCCCCCTATTTGTTAGGAAAGTGTGGGGTTTGACCACTTTACTTATCCTTCACTTTCCATCACTATGTCTCTTTTGTGCATTTAACTTCCACATACAACCGTTTTTGCATATCACGTGGTACCTCAACTCCTGGTCCGAATGAGTGACGTTGTACGGCCTATGGTGATACACAACATAGACCTGAAGGAATAGCTTTATCTCTGACATTGTATTGAATATCATCCCCTTCCTAAGGATTTCTTTCTCATGGTCATACAATGATTTCCTATACATCTAGAGACCAGTGTCATAAACTGCCATATCCGTTATGCTGACATCCCTATGGTTCGAAAAGCCCCTGAAAGGTACGTTCATCGACCTTAGTTACTCAAACTCAGTCGATGTGTAAGGTGGTGGTGGAACATACTACTGCGCTTCGCTAATTCTACCCCATGAATCATAGGGGGTATCATCTGCTGGCAAATCTGTGACTAGTCTACCCTAAGCCTGGATAGCATGCAAAACCTCAGTTGGTACTGGTAATGGCATACCATAAACAGGTATTGGCATGGCATCAACCGGTGTGGGCATAGCATGTCTATCTCCCTGGTCATCATCTGAATCGTCCGAATCACTGCTAACTACATCACTGATCCTGTCCTCCTTCTCCTGCTCCTCCTCTTTTAGTTCGAACTCATTTACATCGAAGTCATTGCTTATACAACCTACTTGACTTGAATGAAACTGCTCCTGCATCAACTACCGTCCAAATTCATGTTACCCTGAGTTGCTTCCCCTTCGATGTAAATGAGTTCGGCCGGTGGGTGCGGTGGGCGGCCGGTGGGCGTGGCGCACCGGCAGGTGTGGGCGGTGGGCGGTCGGCGGGCGATCGGCGGAGTGGGCGCGCCAACGGCAGAGCGCTGGCGCTTGTGGCGGCGGCGGCGGCGTAAGGCGGCGGGGGCGGTGGCGGTGGCGGGCGGGCTTGCGTGGCGCGGCGGCGGCTCTGCTTCAAACGACTCGAGTGAGAAAGAGAAAGGGAAGCGAGGCCGGGCCGCAGGCCTATACAAGGGGCTGCCGCGCCGTGATGCGTGGCGCGGCAATCCCGACGCGCCGTGATCTGTGGCGCGGCAGAGCTGGGCCACGTCACCGGTCAGCGGCCCTGGTCGCTGCCACGTTGGCTGCCTCGCCGCGCCCCCATGCATGGCGCGGCAGCTTGAATTCGCCGCGCCATGCGAATAGGCGTGGCCAAAAGTGTTAGATTTAAAAAAAAAATTAAACAGTGTCAGTTTTAAAAATAGTTTAAAAAATGTTAAAAAAAATCCCCATGGTGACTTTGCTCAACCTCATCATCAACTCTACACATCAGTGCCCATCTGGTGGCTAATTAATGGTGAGGTTGGGCATCAACAAATCCTCCCCCCTCTCTATATATATATATATATATATATATATATATATATATATATATATATATATATATATATATATATATATATATATATATATATATATATATATATATATATATATACACACACCGTAGAACCATGAAGCTAGAGGGGCCAGTATGAATAATGCTCACATGTGTGTAAAATGCATGTTCCCAACAAAGCTAAGTATGCTATATATATAACAATTTCTGCAACCGATGTATTTGCAACTTGCTTTGAGCGAGCATCAACAACATGCTATGAGCAGCAACCTGCAAGTTTTTTACAGTCTCTCATGTGCGTAAAATGCATGTTCTTGTACCACATACACTGTACCGTGTTGTTTTTTAATAATGATGGATCAATCCATGTTTTCATGTATTATTGCTTGTATATGAAAATAATAGCAACCTGAGTGAACCTCCTTACACGGGTTCTAAGTCCTTAATTTCTCTGTAACGATCACATTTTTTCTCGATTTATGTTACGAATGAATCAATAGCGCTATATTTTTCTGGTAATAGATAGTACGGTGTGTCCGTCAACAACACATGCTACAATGAGAATGAATTGAGCATTCAGGGCATGGCAGAGCTCCCAGAATAGCTTTTAGGATGAATTTAAGAGGAGCTCAGCTAAACATTTTTTTTACTAAGAAGCGATTATGCGCTGATTCTGTAAAGCGGTTCTCTGAAATGAACTAGTGGATTGTGAGCTGAGAAACAATAGCTTCTCTTGGTTCACACCATGCATACAGCACTATATGCATAGAGTTTATCCTAAAGAATTGAATCATAGAGAAACATTTTTAGTAAGAGAATCACGTCTCTCCTAGAATTAGCTAATTTTTGGAGGTCATTTTCGGATACGAACGTTGTAAGAGGTCCACCTTCGTAAATCTATTTTAGGAGACAGCAGTTTTTTACCGTCTCCGTAAATAAAATGTCTGTCTCCAAAAATCCTCAGGTATTTTAGGAGGCGTTGAATTTTATGACTGCCTCTGTTAATGATTGGACAGTGTCTCACGAAATCATTTATATATTAGTGCAGCTTGCATAGAGAATCTAAAGTAGGAGGAGCTCTACCAAACAACGCTCAGTATCCTCAATGAGTCTATGTCTCAAATGACCACAATGACACAATTTAAACAATCATATCGCTTTATGTATAAACTGCAATTATTAGTCAAAATTTTAAAATAAAACAGTTATATACATAATAATAAATTAAATTGCAGGGGTTCTAAAAGGTTAAATATATGTAGAATCTGATAGAACAACTTAAACAAACATGCACTTAATCCAATAAATAATGATGAGCACCCAACTACACGCATTGATTAACTTCACTGTCATATACAAGCATGATTAACAATTAATATAACCAAGCTGATTAGCTAGGATCTCGATTGTGTCATGCATATATATTTGCAATCAAGAAATGATAGTGCAAAAGTTGAGATCGAAAGCGCCACATGTAATAGCCACCCTAAGGGCTCCAATCCGCTGCGGCTATCGCTGTCAGGGCACCTCAATCGCAGTTGTGGCCTAGGGCCGGTGCTCCTCCTTCCTCTCCAGTGAGGCTGCCAATGATAAGAAGGAGAGGACTCCATCCCTCGTTTACAGTTGAGCAGTTTCTTTAGGTTCAGTTCACTTTAAGTTTAGTCCAAATAAATCTACTAACGAAATCATCATTGCTGTTTGGCTAGGACCTTGTTACCTGTGATGATTTTGACTATAGCCATGACAAAGTCACCTTTGCAGGAATTAGATTTTATCGCCAGGAGGTTAGTTTGTGGTTACTATCTACAAAGGCAAAGGTGTTCATGGACACTCCCCATGGAGATAGTAACCCTAGGTCACAGACCTCATGGTCAATGTCCGTGAAGAGGGAAATCATGAAGGATCAAGTGTTGAAGGCGCTGAATCTGC